GGTTGTCTGCTGTTACCGCTTGTCTGCTGTTACTGCTGCTCTGCTGTTACTGCTTGTCTGCTGTTACTGCTGCTCTGCTGATCTACTGTTGTTCAGCTGCTCTGTCGTGAGACGAGCTTCACTTAAAGTACTTGAAAAAGAGCCGTCGAGTGGGCCTCTCTGGGATTTTACAACACTCTAATACCCAGAAATAAACATCCTTCTTTTGGGGACTTAAACCAAATAAGATCCGGAAAAGCTCCCACAAGTGGCACTTCATATTACACCTCAAGTATTTCTGTTAATATCTAATTTCCCAAATTCCCTTAAAATAGATTCTCTATTCCACAACATGTAGAACTCCAATTAAATGGTGAACATGTCTGGTGCGATAAAAACTATATGTTATCAACCAATAAAACTCAAAATTTAATATGAAAACTGAGCGAAACTCAGGTTTTGCCTCTACCAAAGTTATGACAAAGCGTTTAAATGGAGGATCCTGGAGGTTTCAACGCTAGGGCTGTCAGCAAGTGTGTTCCTGCCTCTTTGTCTGTCTCCGTCGTTCTCTATCTCTTTCCCCATTTGCTGTGTGTGTCGTAATAAGCGAATCGGCTCAAGGCATTTTAGTGCTCAAACAAAAGGAAAGGCAGCAGCACACACACAGGAACGAACCCACACCTCACCGCCCCCAGTAAACGCATAAAAGCAGAGCCCGAACGTGCTCTGATTTTGTAAATAATTGCAATGACGATGCCAGCATCCACACGCCCCTTCGACAGTCGTCGTGAAACAAGCCCCCTGGAGCGCCAACTGAGCGCCCACGGACCAAGCGCATGATAATATTAATAATAGTGGTAATAATCATACGCACTGTGTGACGACTACACGCCATAAGAGAGTGTACGTAGTATACGCGGCACATATATAGTACATGCAACCATATAAAGAGGAACAAAGGGAAAGAAAAAATCCCGTCTGTCGTCTGCCTTTCTGTTTTAATATGATTAATGCTCCAGCCGAACAGAGTTGGCAAAATATTTACACGTCTTCGCTCAGCTACAAGGCTTCTTCGGGTATAAAGCGGGGCGGGGGCGCAGGGTCTCCTTTTCAGCATTGGGCTTAGCGGGTTTTAGTCCTGACAATGCGTAAAGTAGTTCCCTTTCAAGGGAGGGTTACTCAATCGAGTTGGACGAAGGAAATTGTTAATAGGGTGTGGAAATAGGAAAGAATTTCGCAAAAGAATACTCAAATGGCATTGCTATAAGCCACGGATTAAACTTTAACTAACTAAACATTAATCCATTATGAAATTAGGAAAATAGGCAGCCAAAAAATAAACACCCAATTTTTGCAGTAAAATATTCGAAAAATAAATAATAAATAAAAATAAATAGTGGAAAAATCAATTTAATTGTTTTTTATACAAAAAAAAATAACCGATAGAGTAGCAAATAAAACTCCTTGAAATTGTACAAATTTCCTTGCTTTTCACACACTTTCACAACGTGTGTGAAAAGTTTCAGCGACTCTTCATCGATATTCCTGGCAGGCAGCACAGCAACCATGGCAATGTCTCACTCCATTGCTTAAGAGAATAACCCCAGACAATATGCTTCTGGCAGCCCGCACACAAAGTTTACTTTGAATTCAATGAACCAAAGCGAAATTTGCCTGACAATTAAACAGCTTGAGATGCCAAAAAGGCGAAGAGGAACGAAAGAATACGAGGAAGATGGTAAAAGGAAGGAAGGCACAAGGAAGTATGTATTTCATTCATTCCCCGACTGTCGACTGTCGACTGCCGACTGCCAAAGCAAAAGTTTATGCATCAAAGTTAGTTGTGTGGCGCCCCAAACTTGTGCAGCAGCGATTCCTGTAAGCGATGCAATCCTCAAAAAATATAACGTAAAAAATGTAACGAAAAAGCTGCAAAGAAAGTGTGGGGGTGGGGTATGGTGGTTGGAAACCAATTGCAAAGTTTTCCCAAAAGGGAAATATGAAGAAGAACTTTTCAGAAGGTAAATCTGTCTATGGGCTTCCCATTTTTCCCATTGTATATTTATGCCTTTTGGCTGCCACAGAGCCAGTCGGCTGGCTGCACATACCAAAGGTAGGAAAATGCAATGGCGCACAAATTAAAGAATAATATTTTCTTAGGTCCACGACCGAAATGCAAGCGAGCGTTAACAAAAAAAAAAAAAACCAAGGAATAAAACCAAAAGATAAACAAGAAGGGGAAATAGAACAGCAAATAGATACATAGAAAAAGGAAAAATAGATGGGGCGACGACGACTCCTTAAAAGCGCATAAATTGTCATTGGTCCGTCATTTGGGGGTTGGATTCAGGCCAACAGCTTCCTTGCGGCAAATGCCACGGGGGGTGTCACACTGCCTTTAAGTGTTATTCCCGTGACAAGTAACCCGCCCTGGGTGAAGGAGGGGTGGCTAGCGCAGTAATACGATCTGTTTACTTAAGCTACAAAAAAAAACACATCCAAGCAAAACAGGTAAAAAGCTTTTGTCAATCAAAATGCCAACTGACAGTTGACAGAGTTTTTGTTTTTAAAACTTGCATAAATAAGCCATAAATGGGATGATCAACGGCAGTGTACCAAAAGAGCCACCCATTGAATGCCCCATCCAATAAAAAAATAGAAAAGAAAAGCCAAGAAAATACACTCGCAGTCGTAGTCGTAGTCGTATTTAAATAAGTCGACGGGGCTGGGCAGGGCAGGGCATAAATCTGCATGCAAACTGGTGGAATGACAAGCGTGTGGCACAAACAACAATTGCATCATCAAGTCGTGACGTTTGACAAATGAGCCTGAACCCTCGGCGTGAGCCACCCCCCTCCTATTTTCACAAAGTAAAATATTGCACACACACACACACATGGTCCTTACATGCACACTCATGCACTCACACACATAGATATGTACATACATGCACACACATGCGTATGCCAAGGTACATCAAATGGGTGTAACAAAAGCAAAAATGCCAACGGAGCAGTCAGCAATCAGTAAGAGTCGGCAGCTAGAAATGGTAGCAGGACACGACTCACGAACTGAGCAAAGAAAAATAAGGAATTGCAATCAGAAATAGTTAGGTTTCGATTTCATTCGGTTTAACCCTCCCAGCAGGGGAAAAAAAAGAAAAAATCAGACCCGTACCCGCACCCTTTCAGAACTCTTTTTCTCATGGCTCTAAAAATACATTTCAAGCCTACAGCCTACACATTTAAATAAATGCCAAAAAATATTTAATTTTCATGATTAATATTCCCGAAAGCATTTGGGACATTCCTTAGCTTTAATTCCCCATTAATTGCACCTTAATTCTTAGCTAAAAATGATGCCACATTGTGCATCTACTTAAGTTAAGTTAAATGACTTCAAGGCCCAAATACCCAAAGCCCTCGCCAGCTTAAAATCGCGCTTCCATTCCTCTGCTTTTGGCTCTGGAAATTCTCGAGAAATTCCAACCAACAATCGTGGCATCACAACCCTTTTGAAAACTTTGTATATCTGCCAGTCGCCTCACGCACTCATCTCCAGTCAACATTCCCAATGCAAGAGATCCTTGTTGTTTTTTTTTGTTTGGGGGCAGAAAGAGAAAGAAGTGTGAGCTCTCTCCCATAGTCACAGTCGAGTCAGCACAAAGTCAGCCGAGGGCAGGCATCCATCGGCATCCTCCCGTCGCTTTTTATGGCAAATTGTCAGCGCTGTCGTAATTTTTAAGTTAAAAAATTGTTAAAAAATTTTCGTAGCATTCATTACCATGCCGACGACTCACAGCATCCAGAGAGAGAGATTCCACTGCCGACTACGAGCCACTCCCACTGCCACTCACTCACTCAGTTCACTCAGAGTGGAGTTCAGTCAGTGGCTGATGCTGATGCTGGTGCTGGCCCCACTCTGCTGTCTGCGTGTTGCACAATAATTTATTGCCGCACAATTGCAGCTGCCACACATTCCAATGCACTTGGCGCCCCAGCAGCCATATGGGGGGGCTTGGGCTTGGATTCCCATCTGGTGTGTGTGTGTGTGGGGGGGTGGCGCACAGTCCTTGTCAGGGCACCCGCGGCGCTTGTAAAAGCAACTCACATTTGGCGTTGATTTCGAGTGGAGGATGCCGTGCTGTCGTGCTGTCATGGTACCGCCACCCCCACCCCCAACCGAAACCCAATCCAATGCCAACCCCAAAACCCATCCTTATTACATAGACAAAATGTAATTTAAAATTTATTTTCTCCCGACTAGATTAAGGCACTGCTGGAAACGTGAATGGATGCTGCAGGAATATGTATTTCCTAATGAACTCTTTTCGCAGCAAGTTCTCCGCTGAAATCTTTCTTGGGAAAGATAAACACTGAAACTGTGATAGTGTGAAAATGAATAAATAATTGCATCGGATAAAGTCACGAACTTAGTTTCAGTCTAGCATTGAACTGGAAAATTTTAACTTTTTTCGCGAAAAAAAAACAGCTAACGTTTAGCAGTTGATAAAAAATATACGAAATAATTCGAATTTTGTTGCAGATTTACTAAGTTTTAACCACAATTTTTTTTTAATAATATATATTTTTCTTGTTCATTTTTTGAATCGCTTTGAGTTCATTATTGAATTTATAAAACAAGATTTTCGCTGTTTTTGAAATGAAAAACAAAAAGCATGGTGAAAAATGTGAACTATAAATAAAAGCTATATACATTTAAAGCTTTGTGAACTCTTAAATCTATTGGAATATACCTAAATCATTATGGTATAACTACTCGTATGTCAGTGTGTGGGAATGGGTTAGCATCTACAGAGACCAACAGAGTCTGTACAGTTAACAGAGACACTAACAGAGAGAGAGCGACACCGTCGACTTTAAAAAAGAGAGCAGAGAACCAAGCCTCAACGATCGACGCCAAATAACACTACTCAACATGATTTTTCCTCAAAGAACCAAACCGACTTTTTCTGATAGATTTGGGGCTGTGAAACTGTTTAATAAAACTTTATTTTTTCTATGGCGGAATTTATTTTTTGTAGAATTAAAAAAAGAGTATTTGTTTCGTATATTGTTTTGGCCCCCAAAAATGTGATTTATTATTTAAAAAACCAGCTAACTCGTCACCATAGCTGGCATCTCTCTGTGGCTCGTTGCGTGGGACAATTGAATGCTTCATTAAATGCCGCAAAATTTGTAAGGGTCTGCTTCAGACGCACTCTATCCGCATCATGCTCCACAAAGTTTGACGAATCGCCATTCCCACAGAAAAATTGAGCCAGATTGAGGAAGAACAGCCGCTCCATGGGCATGGTAGTGAAATCCGGCCGGGTCCGGTTCTGGGGTGACTCTTCCGCGCCGCCGCCGAAGTACGCCTCGTAGGCGAGACGAATGCCGTCAATGTCCGCCACTCGCTCGTTGAGGTAATCCGTTTCGTTGTGGTTGAAGCACTCCAGACCGGCCTCGAACTGCGAAGAGCTGCCTATCTGCTGGCCCATCTCGCTGAGATTGCCCTGAGCATCGTAGCGGACTCCAAGGCCATCGAAGGCGTGCATCAGCTCGTGGGCAAGGATGAAGCCCAGCAAACTGAACCTGAACACATCGTGGCTATCCGGCAGGAACACGGGCTCCTGCAGCAGTCCATAGGGTATGACAATGACATTCTGGCGGAACATATAGAAGGCGCTGGAGCTCATGGCCGTCATCGAGTCAGCAATGTAGAAGTACTCGTTGGCCCTGTGCGGCGAGTGCTTTAGCTTTTCCATCAACTGACGTGTCCGGAATTCCAGCAGCTTCAAGTGGCTCCGACTGTAGTCCAGCGTCGTAGCGGACACATCCAAGCTCGCATAGTGCTGACTGACGAATCGGCGCTGATCGATATGCTGCGGCATGTTGCCGATATTGAGTACCATATCGTTGACCTTCCGCCTGATCATCCCGCGCTGCGATCGACTCAATCGCAGGCGATTCCGCTGCACAATCCGCAGGAACTGCCGTCGAAGCTGATCAAAGAGCTGGACAACGGACGCGCTCTGCCTGTGCAGATGGCCCGCGGAGCTGAGGAAGCGCTCCTTGTAGAGCAGATTCGCGGCCAGATTCATGGTGCGGCGCACATCCTTGATGCACTCAATCGGCTCCGGGCTGTCCATCGTCTCCTGCCACAGATAGAGCATAAGGCGTGTCATCATGTAGCTGGCCACCACACCGGGATCCTTTTCGTCCAGCAGCCGCACCAGCGCCTTGAAGTAGCCCAAACTCTGGACATTCACACGAAACTCTGGACTGATGTCCTCTCCAAGCAGCAACTCGACGAACTTCTGCCAGTCGGCTCCAGTGCGTCGCTGCAACTGTCGCACTGTCATATGCTGGCCATCCGTGTCATCGTCATCCTCGTCAATGAGATTTATCAGTGCTGTCTCCAAGCTCTTCAGCTTCTTTGTCAGCGCAAAGGCGCTCGCCCGCGGCACACCCAAGATGCCAAGGACTTGCATGGTTTCCATGAAGGGCATCAGACGCTTTTCCCTCTCTTCGAGGCTGGGCATGCTGAAGTCCATCACGTAGTCGCTGCTGTTGTTGGGCCACGACTTGATGAACACCGTCATCAGGATATTCACATCGCCATAGCGATGCAGACGGGCCAGAGTCTGCAGCCATTTGAAGCGATCCTTGGGCCAGGCCCTGCCGGCTGGGCGTGTTAGCTGCGGCCATGTCAGGCCCTCGTCGGGGGGCACGAATGTCAGGTAGCTTCTGCCACTTCGACTGTCGATCGAAGCGTTGCGGCAGGTGCGATAGAAGCTCCACACCTTCGCCTCCACACTTGTCGCATCGAAGTCTGGCTGCTGCGCGCGCTGCTCCAGCTCCAGCATCAGCGTGAGCAGGTCCTGGTTCACCTTGTGGTCCACCATTGAAACGATCTCCGAAAAGGAATCTTCCAAGTGCTTTTTCGCGTACTTGCCGCACGCATGACCGAAGTAGTCATCGCAGGCATTGACTTCTGTATCCACATAGCTGAGAATGTTGTCCAGCAGACGGCTGTTGGCATTGGCCACCTCCTCCTCCGCTCCACTGGCAATAGCAGTCGAGGCGATGAGCGCGAGACCAATAATCCACATGATCGCTGCCGGAGAACTGAGGCTTCTGCTCCGCCCTGTCTATATGTTGACGTTTGGCATTATCAGGGATTCATGTTTGTCGTGGTGGTGGGGTCAAGTCGTAGCTGATACTCGCAACTGATTAATCGGATGACGAATTGCCAATTCTTATGGAATTGTGGACTAACACTGGCCACCCACTTTGGATGACTCAGGCTAGTTGTCGCTACGGTAAAGTCGACAACCATATAAACTTGTGGACAAATAACACGGGACATAAGTAAAGTAAATAAATAAATAAAACACACATAAATGATCAATGATCATTAGAAAGCTTTAAAGTTTTCCCAGATGTTAAGCTGAGACTACAAAATGTCCAAAACTACTTTATAGCTGCAAATGTCAGCTTTGCAGTAGAGCAAATTTTATTATAAACAATTTAAAGACACCAAAATTATAAGAAAAAGTCGGTATAGTTCCTTGAGATAAATAAAAAGTTTTGTTGATTTTGTTGAGTAGTGTAATCGCTGTCAAAATTCTCTCTTCAGCCACACACGCATTCGAAGAGCGCAAATATTTGTACTTGAATTTTAAGTCCATTAACGGCACAGCGACCGTTGTAATCATGCTTTAATCTTAAATAATATACATAAATATAAACATCAACAAATAATAAACAACACGTTGCCTTAGAGCACTTCGGAATAACGGAGACCACATTTATATTAAAGTGTGTAGCCACTCCCATAGAATCTCTGAAATCTAATAAAATAAAAATAATAACTACTGTATGGAATATGTGGTATAGATCTTGATTTAATTCTATACTGTTTCAGTTTTTATACTGTTCTAAGAATGTATCTGTTTGTAGGAGGGTGTAATGATGATCGCTGGAAGGTTCCCAAAGACCTTGGCTCCCAATAAAGTAGTCGGGGGGGGTGCTTCAATGTATAGATATATATTTCTGTATGACGCGGCAAGGTTGGTTTGGGCGGTGAAACGAGACTGCAGTCTCGTGATGCGCAGTCGCACCGTAAGGGGGTTAGAGGAGACTAAAAACTAAGTATTTTGGCAGCTTAGTGCTAGCGCCAGTGCTGGATCGTGACTGAGCAGTGCGAGAGCGAAGGGCACGAGGAGAGAGCGAACTAACAGTCCGCTGTAAGCAACACCGTCAACCGACTGTTAACTCTGCCACGTTAACAGCGCTGCTGCCTAGAACAGTACACAGTACCAACAGTAAGCTTTTATTGAATGTTTTAACTATATTTTTAGGAACGGCAAGAGATTTCAAAGTGTCTCGTCTCTTATGGCCATATTGAAATGTTGTTTATTAACTTAATGTCCCACAAATTGATAAGTCTCCATCCCTTCCATTCTCTCAGCTCATCTCCATTTCGATATCTTCCTCTCCCGCTCTCTCTGTTAGTGCCATAATCAAATGCAAATGTAATTGGATATTTTGCAAACACAACACCGAGACGAATATATATGTATGTTTGTGTGTGTGACTAGAAATAGCACAGCCATTAGGGGAAGTTATTTGAATGATATGAGAGGATAGCGCATGAACGGTGTGGTGGGAGGGGGGTTAAGTGAGAGTGCGGTTTGACAGTGACTTGTGCCAGTCTTCGTCCATTAGAGGAGCTTGCGAAAAGTGTCAATTACAACAGATGTCAAAAACAATCAGCTGCATAAATAAGTCATCATACGGCAAAGACATGTGACATTCGACCTGGGAAATTGTCGCAACACCCAGCCCACCCACGAGCTGCTCTGAACCCTGAACCCAAACCCAAACCCAAAACAAACGAAACCACAAAGTGATAGAAAACGCTGCTTTGTCTGTGTCAGTAATCAATAAGCCTGGTCAATTGCGTGCGGCTAATTAATGGTTGGTGAATGGTGAATGGGTCTCTCACAGCGAAAGGTGTCGGACGCAAAACAAAGACATCGCGCTCCCGCGTGGGTCAAAACTGTTAGCCCCCGACCACACCTGAAAATGGGTGAAAATGATGAAAAATGTCGACAAGGTAGCACGGATAGCGACAGTGCGTGGTCATTGTGCGTGTGCGTGTTCGTGTTCGTGTCCAATCAATACACAAATTATGGTAATCAATTTTAATTAGAGAGAGACACTCTACACTCGTCAAGTCGAGAAAGAAAGAAATGAGGACCCTTCAAGCAGCTCTGTCCAAAACGGAACGGAACATCGGTCGGGGTGTCTATCCGTGCACTGCAATTGACATTGTCAAAGCGCAATTCCATAATCCTGGCCATCGTTTTGGATGGTTTTTCGACCCACACACACACACTGGAATGGGTTGGGATTTTTGCTTATGTCAAAATTCGAACAATGGCCAAGTGGCTGGCCCGAAAATTGAAGCTGACAGCCCTCATAACCGGCCTCGACTTCGGTCTCTCACCCTCATCCAAAAACGCCACTGATAGACAGTCGGGAATGCTGTGGATGGGGTGATGGGGGGTTGGGTGAGTTCGGTCTGTCTGGCAGACACACACACACACACACACACACCAATTGAAACTGGCACTGACAATGGCATCGGCTTCAAAAATTCCATTATTCGGATTAGACCAATTGTTGCTTTGAAGCTACCAACAGGCTAACATTTAATGCGGAACTTGGGCTGAATGCGGCTTAAAACTTGGCGGCATGAGCTACAATTATATTGGAAATTATTTGAAATTATGCTCAAGGCATAAAAAAAATATAATTTAAGCTTAAAAGAATTATTAATGCGCCATCGATGTGATTATTTGACTATTAATTATGTGGCTTACGTGCAATGACTGCAATATCCAGTGTCTCAAGTATTCCAGATAGAAACGCTAACCAAACGACCGAGGTGCGCCGCTGCACGACACGCCACATGTAGAACCAAAGCGCTGGCCTACAGGCAGCAAAGGATTAATTGAGCTATTCAAATGCCCATTTTGTACTAAGAAAACAGTACTCTGTATGGATATTTTTCTCTTGCCAATGCAGTGGAGTAAAAATTCTAATACAATTTCTTCTGTCAGAAATGTCACGTCTTAAACATTAAATTTTCATTCTACCTACTGCAAGCACTCCACAAATAAATTCCTTACGCAATCTGCATCGAACTTCCCTCCCCCCTAAATCTGCATCAAATGTACACCCCTAAATCTGCACCAAGTTTCCATCACACCACATTCTAGTTACGAAACTCATGTAGACCTCGGGTCAAAGTAATTTAAAAAGTACACAACATCAAGCAACTGGAGCAGCTGCTGCTCCTCCTCTGGCTGCTTCCGATGTGATTCTGTTGCCAACTGCTATTAACAGTAAATGACTGGCCTAATTTATGCACCTTGCTGTACGGCACACACCCACATGTGCGAGGCATGGAAGGAGCACGGGAGTATGAAGACTAGAATTACAATTGTATTGCCATTTCCATTCAGGATAAAGCGAACAGACACACACACACCGTCGCAATGCCGTAACTTGATGGAATATCTGAGAGCCCCACAACAGGGCGAAGGATTCAACTGGCCCCCCCACGTACGACAGGATGATCCCCCCCATTCAGGAGGGGGAGGACTGCCAAAATTGCTTTACACAATCGAAACGCACGAAATGACAATATAAATCGAGGGGCGGAACTAATTTTGGCAAAAGACTCGAAATAGGCCGGTCCACGACCACAAAAACCCAAATGATGATACTTCACAGGGGGGTTGGGGCGGACAGTGGCAGCAGACAGAGGGTGACTGTGAGTAGGGGAGGGGCGGTTGCAATTTCAGCTGATGCCTCGTGGCTCGTGGCACCCCTCTGAATTGGCCAAAATTAACGCAACGCGTAGAAAACTTTCTTGTGTACGGAAATTGCGTAACTACACATTAATGAAGAAAAATTGAGGGGTTGGTTGGAAAACTTACCCCGTGCCACGTATTGGCGGTGGTGGGGGGTAGACGCAACTAACGGGGCAAAAACTTTCGGAAATTGGACGACACTTTAGCCCATAAAAGGCCTCTGATTTATGCCAATTGAAGCGCTCGTCCGCAGGTAAACTGCCACATAAGGAACTGCAGCTTCAGCCACCGAACAAAAGCCGGAAGGAGTAGGGGTGATTATGGCAACTTGTGTGCTCTCAGCTCAGTATGGGCAGCGCTTTGATCATCATTCCCATCCAATCATTTATTATCTGCAGACCTGTGCGCAGGCGGAGGCTATTTTCCTTAACCATTCGTAATTATTTTATTGCCGTCATTAAATCCCTGACCAGACAACAGATGGAGACATCTCTTGGAGCAGAACCAAGGCTCCAGGCTCCAGGCTCCACGCACCATAATCATCGTTTATCATCTGTTGCCTAATTAATTGTAAAGTTTTTGCGCCTCTACGCTGTGAAATCTTTGTGCAGCCATTAATATTGTCACAGATGTCGTAATTGGCCTGCCTGGCCGATGCCCCAAATGATTAATACATCAAAGTTTTGCAATTGTAACTGCCATGGGTATTCCATCTTGAGTTGGTTTTTATACCCTAAAGTGGATTACGCTTTGAACAAAATTTAGAGAAATTTTTAGAAAAAAAAATGTTATATTAATTTTGTATTTTGTATTTTATTGTGTATTAAATAACTCCTCTAAAAAAAAACTAGCATTAATGTAGACCTACTACCAAATCATAGAATTTTTTTTTCTTTTTAAATGATTTTTTTAAATTTAAAAATTCATTTTTTTATTTTTTTATTTACTAAATAGATTTGAATATATTATTATATTTTATTAAGCAGAGAGTAAACAGCAAGACTTTTGGCTCCGCTTTAAGAGTATATTTCTTAAGTATATATTATATATTAATTTTTATTTCAGTGCTAAATATTCCAAGAAATAAAATATTTAATAAAGAATAAATAAACCAAAGGTTAAAATTTTAAATAAAATTTCCAAAATTTCACCACACCCCAATTTCTGTTCAGTGTAATATTACAGACTCTGCCGTCAGCTTGTCCAACTCTTAAAATAGAGAGCCCCGCCCCAGCCCAGCTCAATTAGGCTCTTGTCTTTTTGGGCAGTGGCTGGGTTCTGGTTTTCAATTCATAAAATTAGTTTTAATAATATTAATAATATCATCACTTGGCTGGGGGGTAACTGGGGAACTGGTACTTGGCCAGAGGATGAGCATTGAATGGAAGCCTCCCAAGCCGGCTTTGGTTTTGGCTCTCGACTTTGGCTTTGGCTTTAGCATTTTTGGTCATAGTTCAACGCGTGCAAGGAATTTACACAAAAGGCGTCAAGGCAACCCAGAGACAGGCACAGATGTAGAGGCAGAGGCAGAGGCAGAGGCAGAGTCGTGTCCTCCGACTCATCGTCAGTGTACTCCACTCCCCCTCCCCCACCCACACCCACTCTGCCCTTACTCCCCATGCCAAGCTGGTGGGCTTATGCTCATTGTTTGCACTGTTGCCAGTGCCAACCAGCATCAACATTATGCAGCAGGCGGCTACCGGGGACTAAGATCTGGCCACAAGTTATAAAACTGCCCCACCCCGCCCCAGTTCCCACTCACTCATCTAACACATTTCTCCTCCTCCTCTCTCTCTCTCTCTGTCTCTCTCTTCCCCCTGCCTAACAGCCTCTCTTGCTTTCTCTATTGTTTAAATTTTGCGCGCCGGAAATTTGCTTATCGCCGCGTTTCAGTTGCGGCTCTTGCTGCCAGGGGCATGGGCAGGGCATGCGGCAAGGGGGCGTGGGGGGGTGGCGGAAAAGCAAGCCCAAAGTCAATAGAGAGATTAGTGCGGCAGGCATTGAGCCGGCACAGAGCTGTGCTAATTGAGCGACGGACGGGTCATGGCAACAGCTTAAATCAATAGAATCAGCAGTCCCACGGCAGTCCCACGGCAGTCCCACGGCAGTCCCACGGCAGTCCCACAGCAGTCCCACGGCTGTCCCACAGCAGCACCAAAGCCTCCCACAGCCTCCCAAATCCTCCCACAGCAGTCCCCCAGCTTCATTCGGTATGCAACTAATTTTGATACCCTAGAATAACTGCAGTGGGGCTCTCCCATAAGTGGATTACATTTTTCTTTATTTATTTATTTATATTTTTAGCATACAACAAAAAGGGGAGCGTGCCCTTTCACTTTCTGTTTTTAGATGATACCCAGGCCGAGGCCTCCTGGCCTCTTGCCACCACCACCCAGACCCAGCTTCTGGCCACCACCACCCAGTCCCAGCTTCTGGCCAGCATCGGCCAGGCCCAGCTTCTGGCCAGCACCGCCAATTGTCTGGCCGAGGCCGCCGCCCAGCTGCCCCAGTAGGCTGCCCAGACCCGCACAGCTGGTGGAGCTGAGCGGCGAGAGGGAGGCGCCCAGAACGGACAGCTCGCAGAAGCGAAAGTCATTGGAGGTCTCCAGACGGGTGTGGATTTTGATGAAGGGTGTGGCCTTGCCGGTGACACTCTGGAAGAGCGACGAGCCCGAGCCCGAACCGGAGCCCGAGCCGGACTTGCCATCGCCACTGCCCTGTTTGGCGAACTGCACGAGCATATCGATGAGATTGTGACGCACCTGCAGATCCTCGGCGCTGGTGAGACGCGTCTCCAGCAGCGGCTCCCCAAAGATATCGTTGGCATCGAACATGTAGCCCAGCTCATCGCCGTGGCCCACCGTCTCCGGCTTGTCGTTGGCCGTCTGCGAGACGATGGGCAGGCCGCGCAGAAAGTTGATGCCCTTCGACTTGGTGCCATTGTAGTCGAAGCTGTACATGAAGGCTGGCGCCAGCTTGGACCACACCTGGGTGGTGAGCACGGCGGGCAGATTGAACAGCACATCGGTGGTGGACTCGACCACCTTGGACAGCACCTGATCCACATTGAGGGCCTGCGGCACCTTCCACACATCCTGCAGCGTCGGCGTCAGCACACTGCTCAGTCCCGGCAGCTGCGGCTTGGCGATCTGTCCCGTGATCTGATCGATCTTCAGGAAGCCCGTCAGCTTGTTCAGCGCATCGCCCAGGGAGCCCAGGAACTGCTCCGCCGAGCCAAAGACCTTCTCGATGGTCTCCACCGTCACCGAGTTGGCCGTCTCGTGCTTGGTGACGCCCGTCAGCAGCGGTATGCCCGAGAAGTTGTTGCTCTTCAGCTGCTGCTCGGGCTCGCCCACAATGAGACTGGGCAGGGCCCGACCATCGTCGGGGCTCTCGATGTGCGGCTGGAAGCCCACGCTGCCCGTAAGACCCTTGACCAAGGCCCGACCCGCCAGCCGTTCCGTCTGCACCTTGTCATCGTTCCGTATGATGTCCTCGGCGCTTTTCTGCAACGATTCAGAGAAATTAATGCCAGAATTTGGGCACCCCCCCCCTTTCATGCGCCCCCCGCCGTACCGCTCTCAGACAGTTGACAATTTCCAGCTCATTGCCGGTGGGACAGCCATTGATCTTGGCCACCTCCTCGACACTCTGCACGGGCTCCTTGTCGGTGGCGTATTGCGAGAGGGCCGTGCCCGACATGGCCACCACGCCGTGCACATCGCCGGCACTGCGCGCCGTCCGCGACATCGACAGATACATGGCGCTGGCCGCACCGGAGCCATGGCCGATGGCCTGCACCTGCTTGGGATTGCCGCCGAAGTAGGAGATGTAGTCGGTGACCCAGCGGAGGGCGGCGGCCAGGTCGAACATGGCCAGATTGCCGTCAAACTGCTTGGTGCCGTCGCCCATGATGCCCAGCGAGCCGAGACGATACTGCGGCGCCACCACAATGGCGCCCCTCTGCGCCATGGGCGTGGCATCGTACTGGGCCGCCGAGCCGTAGCGATACCCGCCCGGATGGATCCACACAAAGACCGGCAGGCCGGTGCTCTCGTCCGGCATCTTGGGCGTGTACACATTCAGCAGCAGGCAATCCTCCTCGCCGACGATCCGCTGCGGCGACTGCGGATGCGGCTGGATGCAGGGCGATCCATGCCGCGTGGCATTGATGTCGCCGCCCAGGCGTCGATACACGGGCCGGGCATAGCGCAGCGCACCCAGCGGCGGCTCCGCATAGTGCATGCCCAGGAAGCTGTAGATGCCCGTTGTCGGATTCCGATAGCCCTCGACGCGTGCATCCCGATTGAAGAGGCGCGCAAACACCACCGGATCGTCCACGGGCGGTGCATTCGACTGCTTGCCGCCGACAATGCGCTTCACACGACTATGGGCACCAGATTCCCGTTCCGAACGCGCCAAGGTCACAGCCAGCAAAAGTAGCTGCAGCAGCAGCAGCAGCAGTCGCCACATAAAGTTCCGCTTCAGCAGTGATTGCATTTCGATTGTCAAATGGGAACTGAACACTGAACTGAACCTGAACTGAATGAGGTATGCCCTGGCATCGCAGCGCCAGCCACAGAGCTGGGTTTTTTATACCCGTACTCAAAAAGTGTTAAGGGGTATATTAGATTTGTGGTAAAAGTGGATGTTCATATTCATATCATATATATTCATGATCAGCATCAATAACCGAGTCGATATAGCCATGTCTGTCTGTCTTGTTGAGCGCCTAGATCTCAGAGACTATAAAAACTAGCTAAAGCTCAAAAATGTATGTACTGACTGAGTACGGGTATAAGTAGAGTCGCGTACCCAGAAGCGACTCACACGTTCCTTCTCGTTTTTGTTGTGAGCGAGGCCGGCTACTTGTTTGGCTTGCCGATAAACAGCAGCAACAGCAACAACTACAACAATCGCTTTAGTTGATAATAAAATATAAATTCAACTTTTTTTTTTGTTACTTCGTTCCGTTTGCGTGCTTGCCAGGGGGATAAGACCATGTTTGGTGCCGTCCCGGGGAGCTGCTTCTCCAGCATTCTCAACACGTACTTTATAGCGCTGATGATGATGTTGATGGAGGTGGAGAGAACTTCATGCCCAGTTGTAGAGCCAGTTCATTGAGTCACAACAAATCCGGAATTAGCTTATGGCAAGGCTTTTGGGTGACTTTTGAGAGGAATTGCTACCCAAAATACTTGAATATAAAATTGGAATAACTACAAGTGTTTAAGAGACTTTTATTTTAATTCGAAATAAGTAATTAAAAGCCTGTAATAAGCTGGCGCAGAATTAAATATTTTTTAAAACAAAATAAAGTAATATTTAAATTTTAATAGAATATTCTAACATAAAACTAAAAACCTTCTGAAATGTTAACTGCCATTAAAGTAAAATAAAAATAAAAAAAAATAATAAAATGAAAAGAAAATTAATTAATAAATAATAATAATAATAATAAATAACAAAATAAAAATAAAATTAATCTTTGCATACATTTTTGGAATTAGTTTAAAGCACACAAAATAAATCTTTTTATTGTTTCTGTTACTTTCATGAACAGGAGGAGCTATAGCATAATTTATTCCCTATTAAATTTCCTAATTTATCATAATTCTACCAGTATTTCCATGCCAAATTCCCAGCCATCTCAATTCCCAGCCAGACTGACATTCAAGCTAATTATCTGCTGGTTGGATCATCTCTCGGTTTGACTGACTGCCAGGCCATTAAATCGCAGAGTATTTGCTGTATTATTTTATTACATTATTATTCGCGAGATCGTGCGATCTGCGACCGATGAACAGTAGCAGAACTGGTCAAGTCGGTTTTTCCCCACTGCATTATTGCTGCGAACTGTTCAAGGCTGTGCGGCGCTGAAAATTCAATTGCATGACACAAATAATAATGAGAACTTAAAGGCATTGTCAGAAGCAGAAGCAGCAGAGAATCAGTGGCAGAGTCCGAGTTCGAGTCAGTGCCACACAGCATACGAGTCCATGGCGTCATATTTTACAGCTGTGCCGCATTATCTTTTGCCCAGATGAATTATATTCTTCAGCATATTTACAGCTAACAAATGTGGGGGGCTGGGAATGGGAATGGGAGCCGGAAACGGATGCTGGCAAATATCATGAGGCGAACGCATGTTGAGATTTCAAGTTTCTTGACCCCCTCTTTTGTGCCAGAAGGCAGGACCACAACTGGGCGACTGGGATTAGGCCGGAGTCAGAGGCGGCACGGCACGGCATGGCACGCGCTGTACTAACTGGCATGACACTGCCACATGAATCTCAATGTTGTTGCTGACTGCCAGAGTGCGGCCACGTACGGCTAGCTGATTTGTCCCAGTCTTGGGTCTCGCCCTCTGTGGGAACTACACTGAGATTTCAGTGGGTTTCATTCGAATGAGCTGTAGTGAGAAAAATCTCTTCTTTCTCTCGGTGTAATCAGCCACACACCGACCACTTGCCGCTCGCATGTGTCGCAGACAATGGCCAAATGACATTTAAAGTTACGACAATATAATTAAGTATACTTCTGGGAGTTGACGCCATCAGCTGCTGGCACAGGAGCCGTAGCCGTAGCCAGAGCCGTTGCCATGGCCAAGGAATAATTATATATGTATGAGAAGCAGAGCCACTCACAGAGTGGAGGCAGGGCAGCAGCCATGAAGGGGCGTGCAACACTCGCTTGCAGCACGCAAAGTTTTGCCCAGATGCAGCCCCTTCTGCAAAATCCTGACGCCTGGCACGCCTCAACGTTTAACGAGATTAATCTTTTTCTGCCCCGACTACTTCCAGTCGTAGTCGTAGTCGTATCTCTAGCTCTGGCCTCTCTGGCCTCTTTGGCCTCTCTGGTCACTGACAAAAGAGAAGTCCTTAAAAAGTTATTAATCTTTGGGGCTATCGAGTAAATATTTTGCTTTTAATTGAGTTTAAATGCAGCTTCAAAGTGATTTGCATAAAAGTTGCACACAAATTTTGTGCACTCAATCTAGGGACAGGATATGATATGGTCCACTTGGGCACATATCGGTTGTGTGTACTATATGTAAAAAGTAATAATTACATGGTAGATTGCTTTTTAATTCGATTTTGGGCAATGCCAAGGCCTCAGGCACTGCCTGCAAAAAGGGAAAATTTTGATACATGACAGCACAGCAGGGGCAATTGAAATTGTATTATTTTTAAATAGATTTTGCTTTTCATATAAATTGAGGATAGAATATAGAAATACATTTTTATATTCGTTTATCCCTCGAGGAATTAATTAACGAACTTGCTTATAACTAATTTATACCCCAACTAGAGCATTTTCCCTCTCCAATTAATATCCATTTTTCCATGTGGTTGTTGTCTTGTGTGCCACACGCAACATTCTAGGATTTTTCCAGCCCCTCCTGCCAGCCCCTTGCGTGTGCTGTGCCCATGACTGCGTTTAGTGGCGGGGAAGGGGGCGTTTCGTGGAAATTAGAGGCAGCTTCCCAGCTGCTGCTGATGCGATTTTGATGTGCAAAATATTAATTATAAAACAATAATTGAATTGTGCTCTTGCGCTTGGCAGTCCATGGCAGTGCGCGTCGAAAGGTGAGCGAAAGCTCCTCACCCACACACCCACACACACACACACACACCCACACACACGCCAAAACTTCATTAGGCTACGGCGCAATTTTTCTTTGGCCTCAGATGAGCAGCAGCTGCTGTTGGTATTTTGTGGGGAAAAATCAAATTAGTTTCCACTGATTGCCGTTTAATGGGATATGGGAAAGAGCCCACAGTAGATCCAGATCAGATCAGGTGGCTGAAAGATGAAAAATCTTCTGGTGGAATATATTAATTAATTGTTGTCATGATTATTAGGGTATTGTAAGGGAAATTCATTTGTTTTAAACGGAGGAATATTTGTATAGAGATAGATAGAGAATAATATGAATAATGAGTATTGCATTTTTTTTCCATTTATCTACTACCCATGGCTATCACTCCAAAGCTGTTTCTAATGTGTTTAACCATTCAATAAAAGGCACATTTAATTATATTTCTAAGAGTCTCTATCCGTAAGTAAATCCATTGGGAATTTGTATGTATTTACATACTTACATATGTATGTAACTGCCTGTGCTCCTCTTCTGGCATTTCGTTTTTATCTTGTAATGAGCGCAGTGAAGTCGCAATTGTCTTATCTCTTGATCTCTACTCTCACGCAATGCATGCTCTCGCAATGTCTGCACTCTCTCAGCAACAACATCATCATCTGCGCTTCCGTGCACTGTGATTGACGCCTCTCTCTCTCCTCGCTCACAGTAGAAATACTTGCGGTGCTGCGTTGATGCTTTGTACCTGCTTACAGCAGAAGTGCTGCTCATAGCAAAGTTGATGACAACTAAAGCAACGCTAACTGCGAAGCGACTGAGCAGTGCAGCAAACCAACGCACAGTGGAGCAGTTTGACTTATTTTTTAGCTAAATTTATAACTTCAAAATAAAGGAATAATTTATGAACTGAAGAAAAACCCCTGAACCAATTAAACATTGAAAGACCTCGGAGAATACTTTAGCATATTTATTATTCACAATTTAAAATATACATACTAGTACATTAAGAGATGAAAGGGTAAGTGTAAGCCATGGTAAATGCTTAAATAACCAAAACAAATTTTGGAGAGTGAAAAAAAAAGTTCCAAAAATATGCCACAATCAACAACAAATTTTTTAATTTCTTGTGTGCTGCGCTCTGAAATTGAACGAACTTTGAGCTCCTGCAGGAGACTGAAGATTCTACAGGGTTGAATTTGTAAACCTTTTTAAACATTTTTAAACCAAGCCTATTAATTTCAACCAAGCCAATTCCTGTTTAAGCAATCCTTCTTTATATCTCGTATAAATCCCTATATCGTTATTTCCGTACTACTCTTTCCAGTGCCCTTTCGTTTGTTAACAATTCTGCAAACGCATCAACCCTGATTCAACCCTTAAAATGTTTTCCATTTGTGTTATCAATTTTCCTGCATTAATTTGCCCTGTAATATCTTTAAATTATTTTCAAGCCCATAACTCGCATATTTCGCATATTTACGTCCCCAGTCAACTATAAAAAACGCACAAGAGCGTAAATAATATGGCCAGAACCGAAAAATTTACGAGTGAGTGTGCGTGTGTGTGTGTGTATAATAATAAATAAATATGAAAATATTGCATCAAATGGACGACCATTGGCCCCCCAAACCTCTTGGCAAGGAACACAATATACGAGGGGGCAGAAAAAAAATAAAACAATCGAAAACAAAACAAAGTTAAACCCAATACATTAATGGTATTTGCATTTGTACTGATTTTATTTGGTTTTTATTGAATTGATAAAATCACGAACGAGAACAGGAGAAGCAAACGAGATTCGAGTGAGGGCTCCGGCTCCAGCTATGGCTCTGGCTCCTGCGTCAGCTACTCCCAGTACTTCTGTTTGTGGTCCTCCCTCCTCCTGCCAATTTGATATTCC